TGTGGTAAACTGTGGTCAATGACATGAGACAAAGTATATGTGAACTGCTGTATGGAAAGTGAATTTGCTCTGTAAATCTTCACCCAAATCACAATAAATAAATAATTAAAAAAAAGAGTTCCGTCAAACCTGCCCTGTTGAAAATCATACCAAGATTCTCACAACTGAGGAGATACCAGTCTCATTTTTCAAAGGTGTGATACGTTTTTGCGTCTTTTATTGGTTATTTCAGAGGGAATTATAGGAGAGGGCAGTTCAGTCACTGCTGCTCAATTACCATTTTAAAGCAAAAATCAAGAAAGCCTTTTGATTAACCGGCATTATCAAATAATGGAACATGAAACTATATGAATTCTTTCATCATGAAATATATCAGGTAGTAGGCTAGTAGATAAATTCTTTGCTGTTCCCAAAATATAAGAGTTTAAGAAATAACATATTTCATTAATTTAGCTCTCTACATATTGTTCAATAAATATTTCATTAAATTTCTGATGAGGTCATTTGCATATGGTCCTGTAATAAATAAAACATATAGCATTGCTTGAGAAAACATGCCTGAAAAGTCTCACAGCTAATAGTGATATACATGTGTTCAAAATAAAGTTCTTTTCCCCTTGCCCTTAAAATTCTTTCTTTTCCAAAAAGATAAATAAAAAGTGCTTTACTGGTCTTCATTTGGGCAAAATGGAACAGAGGTATTTTTTTTTTAAATTACAAACAAATCATTTATATTTCTCTAAAATAAAATATTGGTATGAATTATTTACAATCTAAAGTCCAAAAGCAATGTATTCTGAAAAAATTTTCAATTCATTTTTAGTTCGGCCATCTTTTCTACCTCTCTCACCATCAACTACCTGTACAGCACTCACACACATCAAATGTTACCTTCAGCAGATCATTTTCTCCAACATTAGCTGCATATTTCCATGTAAGTTTTCTGGTAGTAGTAGGATCTTCCCAGGCAAAAAGTCTAACTTGATTTTGTAGCAATACCATTTCTTCCTGTGACCCACTGAAACACAATCAACAGAAAGAAGACTGAAATAATTTGGCCTTGAGAAACCCATACCTGCAGTTTATTGAGAAGAGGAATGAAATGGTCTTAATAAAACACACAACTTTACCTAAAAAGAAATGCTCTAAAATGTGCAGTAAACTAATGGATTTGAAGCTTGAAGTAAGATAATATTGCACTTCCTAAAATATACTCTTTAATGGGGGTTGCTATGAGTCGGCATCAACTCAATGGCTGTAGGTTTGGTCTTTTGGTTTCAACCATTCTCTGAATTGATCCAGGACGGAGAATGCCATAGAATTCATTAAGGTAAATAGACTGTACATCAGAAATCACTTGTAGAAAATGCTGTGAATACTGTCTTTAGTAGCAGAAGAACTTCATTCAGTGCTAAAATTTAAACTTTCTAATCAAATGAAATACATAAGAAATTTTACAGCTCTCAAGCAAAAAAAAAAATGACTCCATAACGGTGCTATTCAAAGTATGGTTTGTGGATCAGCAATATTACCTGGGGACATGCTGGAAATACAAGGTCTCAGGCTCCACCCAAGACCTACTGACTGAATCACAATCTGCATCTTAACAAGATACCCAGGAAATCTTAAAATTGATACTTAAGTTTAAGAAGTACTGGTCCATAAAATACTATATATATATATATAATGTTTTCTGGGGTGGGGTGGGGAGAGTGTAATCCAACCAGGTTGCAATCCTAATTTGTGCTTCTAAATCTTTCATTAGATTCAAACCATGAGAGACAAGAAAAGGAAAATTTGCAAGGTAATATTTTGTGTGTGTGTATGTAAATACATATACGTATTGCTGTGTACCACCGAATAGATTACGACTCAAAAGAACATACAGACAATGGAGAACTGCCCCATTGGGTTTCTTTTAGGCTGTAATCTCATGGGAGTAGATTGTCTGGTCTTTTCTCACATGAAGCTGCTCTTGGGTTCAAGCCACCCATCTTTCAGTTAGCTGCCAAGTGCTTAACTGTTGCACCACCAGGAGAGAGAGAGAGAGAGAGTGTGTGTGTGTGTGTGTGAAGGAGCTTTGGGGATGTAGTGGTTAAAGCATCTGGATGCTAACCAAAAAAAAAGGTCAGTGGTTCAAACCCATCAGCCACTCCATGGATGAAAGATGAGGCAATCTACTGCTGTAAAGAATTACAGTCTTGAAAACCCAATGCAGGTTTGCTATGAGGCTATGAGTCAGCTTCGACTTGATGGCAGTGAATATATATATATATTTAAGAAAACAGATGTGTGTGTGTGTGTGTGTGTATAATGGTATAACAGAGTTTTACATTCTTAAATACTATATATTTTATAAAAATGTTAGTTTAAGGACATAAAACTATCTATTATACCATTAAATATGGCATCATCCAAGACAAATGACAGCATAGGATAGAACAACAAAATTTCTATCAGCCTATATGACAGACACATTCAACATCACTATCTCCTTACTTTTCTTTTAATTTTCTACTACCCCTAAGCAAAAAAAAAAAACAAAAAACAAAAAAACTAGATATAGATTTACAAGGAGAGGTTCACTGAGAATTAGCAGGTTACAAAGAAAAAATAATGCCAAAATAAGTTCACAATCTCTTATCTGCATTCTGAAATTGAAAAAGCTCTAAAACCCCAAGACTTTTCTATAAATTTTGGCCCAAAAGTAACTGGATTATGTTTGAACTGATGTGGGACTATTAACAGTTTTTTTATTTATCCCATTTGATGTAAATATTCACAAATTTTGCTGTAGAAATATTAATGTGTTTGATTACAGAGTGTCTCAAACCCTGCTGGTGGGTATGAGTAAGCATGTGCTCCATGTGACCTTTTCTAAAATATGATAATGTGTGAAATCTAGCCCCACAGTGCTTCTTATACTAGACTGCAGACCAGTCACAGCAAATCACATTTTCCATTAACCCCTTTTTCATACCTCTGTTTATATGTGAGGATATCCCATGGTGTATGGTTTATTATTAGGGCAGGTGCAGATCCCTCGTGGTAATCAGAAAAGGTTATGACAGTTGAATGTTCAGCAGTGTTTACATCCACCAAGATGCCCCCATTCTATTACAGGGAGAAAAAGAAAAAGTTGTTTGACGTTTAACCTGCACTTAAATTTGGATTTTAAATCAATTATATGGTACAAAAGCTTTGTTTTCTTAAGTTCTTACTGAAAAGCAAGCTTGTTCTTATCTCTTACAAAAACATATGGCATTACATATATTGACAGAGTAGCATCTTCAATAATTACCAGTACATTTTATAGCATGGTTTAATAAGATATTTTAAAGCAAATTTTAAAACTCAAAGACATTTGTTTTACAATATCAAAGCTTACCATATCTTCTAAACTCAATAAAGTGCCATTATCTTGTCGGTTATAAAAGAATGGTTTGGAGGATCCTTCACAACCCACCACTCTCACACAAAGTTTGCCTGATAAATTTTCAGGCCAAAATGGAAGGCACTGGAAATACAAAAGTTAAACTTTAAAAAAGCCTGTGGCATAAATAAAACACTGGCTAACTAAGTTTTCAATGCTCAATCAAATCTTGATTTAATTATTACTGTTTCTTAAAATACTCTCTCCACATACTACAATGAGATTACTGACAACATAATGACTATTTATGAAATCAAAGAAACTCTATCAGAAGAATACTGCTATATTAGTCTATACATACTTATGGGATAATTAGGAGAACCTAGAGACTCTTGATTAAGGATACTTTGAATATCTTGAATATTTAAAAACTATAATCTTAGTAACATCTGCTTTTGTGCATATTTCATATTCACTCATGAATGTACTATGAATTATCTCTGAGTGTCTTATCCTAGATAAACCAGAAAGACAAACTAAGGCAAAGGAGAGAATAACACAGACGTTGCTGCAAGTCCTGACGCTACCTTCTTAGTGCTCAGATCTTAATCAAATCATGTACCTCACTGAGCCTCAGTTTTCTGATCTGTGAAAGTGGGGTAATAGTAAGCTTAAAGAATTGTGAGGATCAAAATGAAATAATACACATGAAACAAACAAAAAAAAAACCCAAACTCACTGCTGTCCAGTTGATTCGACTCATAGTGACCCCTCATTGGATTTCCGAGGCATCATCACTACGGAAGTAGTTTGCCCAATCTTCCATCCAAGGAGAGGCTGATGGGTTTGAACCACCAGCCTTCTGGTTAGTAGTCAAATGCCTTAGGCACTACACCACCAGAGCTCCCCAAAACAAACTCACTGCTGTTGAGTCTACAACTCATAGTGACCCCTCCTTGGGTTACCAAGGCAGTATCTCTACGGAAGTGGAGTGTCCAGTCTTCCTTCGAAGGAGTGACTGGTGGGTTTGAACCACGAGTCTTCTGGTTAGCAGTCAAATGCTTTAGGCACTGCTCCACCAGAGCTCCTGATACACACGTGAATATATGCGAGGGTGCTGTGAATTACATAAAACTTCACATAAGCTTTAGTTACTAAAACCAAACTAAACTCACGGCCGTCAAGTCAGATTAGACTTATGGCAACCCCTGCTTGGGTTTCCGAGGCATTATCACTACAGAACTAGATTGCCCGATCTTCCTTGCAAGGAGTGGCTGATGGGTTTGAACCGCCAGCCTTCTGGGTAGCAGTCAAATCCCTTAGGCACTATGCCACCAGAGCTCTAATGTATTACAAAATATCTTTCTGTTATAGAACACAGGGTAAAGCTATTTCTGAATAAAATATACTACTGTAATTAGAAACACAACAAAGATGATAAGCATGTATTTGTCACCAAGTCTACAGAGATCATTTCTAAGTGCCTTGGAAAGATCATGCTTTAAGTTCTAATTTGTTTACACTTTAATTAGAATCCTCCTTTTGAACTTTTTGTTAAATTATTTTAAAAAATAATGTCAGAATCTTTTTATTACAGGCACAGAAGAATGACTCTATCCTAAAGGTCAGCTATTTTAGGTGAAAACCCAGACAAATCAAGCACTAATGCTATCTTTACATGTGTCCTTCCCCACTCTCTTCCTAGTTCTCTCCACCTCCTCAAACCTTATGGAACCTGCAAAGTTTAGCTCAAATCCCACCTCTCCTGTGAAACCTCCTGTTGATCTAGACCACAACGATCTAAACTCCCAATGCCTTTACTGATCTTGGAAAATGCTAAGACTCAGTTTGTTTCTCTATAAAGCGAGGGAATTAAATTTAAGCAATTTTCAAGGAAACTTTCAGCTCACCTATTCAGAAATTCTGTAACTAGCTATAACTTAGCATATACTATCTTTTTCTCCACGTGCTGATATGTCTTTTGCTCTCCAACAAGATTATAAGCTTCTTGAATGAACATAGAGAAATTATCCTTACTATAAAAACAATATATAGTACATTATCTCTACGTACTTTTTACAGTATGTATCCACATTATATACAGCAACTACTAGAAAATGAATGTTGACCATCTAGACAGGACAAGTAGCAAAGACTATTGACAGTCTTCTATTTTTTTTTTAACATATGCTTACGATATAGAAAAAAATTTTTAACAGCTGTCATATTTTAATGCATAAATCTGATAGCAGAGTGTCTCAAAGAACAACATAATTCTTAGTTTAATGTCTATACTTATTTATAAATTTTAGGATCTACTTATACAAAAGGAGAATTTTACCTCTGAAGAGGCAATATAGTTCCATTTATTAGTTGGTATTGAGCCATCAGGTGCAATTTCACCAACTTCTAGTTCCAATGAGGACTTGTTTGCAATGGTACAAAAGGGAGTCAGAGTAACTATTCGAGAAAGATTAAAACTGCTCATTTTGATGCTAACACCAACCTGTGGAAAGTAAAAAAAACAAGTTTATCATTTTTCACTATATTATTCAGCAAATATGAAATATATACCACTCATACACACAGACATCTTATGATATTTTAATGTCAGTATTTTTAAATTAAGTAATACCTATAAAGCATAATCCACTACTGATTATCTTCTCAGTAAGAAAAAATTTTGGCTCCTTAGTTTGGCTCCATCAGAAATCAATTCAGGAAATATCAATCAATACTTAACTAACGAACACTTGCAATGATCTATTTATCTAGTATTCTTTACTTTTAAACATGTCAAACATATATTGCTTTATAAATAGTGTAAGGCTGTATTTTATGACTATTATTAATGTTAGGCCGAAGCAAACCCAAGCCACCAACATTTCAGTTAGCAGCTTCCTCCGGGTGTCAAGCCCTGATGAGACAGCCTGATAAGACAACCGAAGTAACAGAACCCGCCCAGACTGGAAAGTCCCATGCAGTGGCAAGCTTCCTCTTGTGAAGCTCCCTCATGCTAATTAAGTGCAGACCCATGCTAATAGCTAATTGGACCCCACTATTTCCTTAGTGTCCCCACTTAGGTCCTCAACAAGACTATAAACCCTCCCCTCCCCAGCCAAGCAGTGCGACTTCTCGGGCCCCTCCCAGGGACCCGTGAACCTCGCCCGGGCCCCTCTTGGGGGCCCGTAAACCTCACCCAGAAACTCAGAATAAAAACTTCTCTTTAACCTCACTTTTGTGCATCCTCTTCTCCTTACTGTGGCCTTACAATTAACAAAATAAAAGAACAATTTAAAGCAGTAATAAACCAGGTGAACTGACATCAGATTACCCAAATTTCACAGTAGTCAAACTTAAGATTTAAGAAACATTTTGGGGGCACTGTATAACAGAAGGAAGATTCTAGCATACTCTGATCTGAGTATTTACTAAGTTTCTTACTGAGATGGATTCAACTCACTGCCTTAAGCTTTGACAAATTCAAGTTTTGCTTTGGTATTAGTGGATACAGAAATATGTAAAGATAAGTCCTCAACATAATACTGTGAATTCCTATTTCTGTACCCCTTAGGAACCATCTGGCTTACTTAATTGCAGAAAAGTGAATGTGGTCAGAGGTCAATAAGCAAGCAGAATCTTACCAGGTATTCCATGTTGTTGGCAGGACACTTTACACACCCATAACTTCCTACAGTATCCAATGAGAAACTACTGGACCATGTACTCGTTGATATTTTCAGCTGTACCTACACCAGAGAATAAATACCACCATGTTAATTTTATTTGATGTGAAGTTGCGAGACCCCTGAGAAATTTCTTTAACATCAGAGAACACAGAAAATTACAATCAAACAGGTATCAGACTCACAGAAGACTGGGATACTAGGGGACCATACAACAATAGAAGAGCTCTGATTTAGCAATGAGTTCTGGGAATTTAAAGATATATCCCAATGGGACCTCCTTTTGTTTTAAAAAGAATCATAATGCAACATGCTATTTCCAAATGTTAAGAAATTATTAAGCTTTTAGCACATCCAGAATTTATGTACTTAATTGACATTATTGAGCAGATGCTAAATGCAAGTCATTGTGCTAAGCAGAACAGAAGGCAATGGAACACTGTTCACAATGGGAGACAATGAGTCTCCAACTAAAGAGAAAGATGGGAAATATATATATATATATATTTAGGATAAGAGACATGTAAGAGATACAAAATGCTTTGGCGGTTACAAGGAATAAAATTATTTCTGGGTATGGGATTTAGAGAAAGCTGTATAGAAGAAATCTACCTGTGTTCCTCTATTAACCTCACCCCTATCCTGTCCTTTCTAGATTATAGAAAACTTAAGGACAATAAGAGGTTAGATATATAAACAGATAATTACAATACCATATATTAATCAATACTCTAAGAGTGTGATTCTCAAAGTGTGATCCCAGGACCAGAAGCATCAGCATTACTTGGGAATTTGTTAGGATGCAAATTCTCAGGCCCTACTTAAATCTACTGAATCAGACTCTGGAGGCAGAGCCCAGAAATCTTTTTTAAAAGTCCTTTGGGTGATTTTCACACACTGGAGTTTGAGAACTGCTGCACTAAGAAAACTTGGATGGGACACATAGCCCCACTTCAGATGGTTAAAAAATCTTTGACACATGTCAGGCCTGAGGGGAATGCCAAAAAAAAATGGATGGCAGAAAACCAGGAAAGTGAGGAAGACTAGGAAAGAGTCGGAGAAGGGACATTCAGGACAAAGGGTGAAGCAAATACAAAGGCCTAGAGACGAACTCTTTAGAGCAGTCGCGAATACCAAGATAGAAATCTGGTGAGGTAAAAGGGGCCAAAATATGAAGGACTAGGCTTAAGCATAACGAGCTCTGGTGGTGCAGTGCCTAAGGCATCTGACCGCTTACCAGAAGGTTGGCAGTTCAAACCCATCAGCCACTCCACAGAAGGAAGATGGGGCAATCTACTTCCATAAAGGTTTACTACCTCGGAAACCCAAAGGGGGTCGCTATGAGTCAGAATCAACTTGACAGCAGTAAGTTTGGATTGGTTTGGTTTAGGCTTAAGCATCAGGCTTCTCTCCCAAATGCCTGGCTTACTGCTTCATACATAGGAGGAACTTAAGTAATATAAGCCAAATTCAACTGCTGCATCTTCTGAAATGCCATTCCATCACAGGTGGTGGTGATGGTTGTTGGGTGCCACAGAGCTTCTTTCAATTCAGGGTGATCCCACATGAACTACCCCCATGGGGTTTCCTGGCTGTAATCTTTAAGGAAGCAGATTGCCAGGTCTTTCTTCCAAAGAGCTGCTTGGTGGGTTCAAACTATCAACCTTTCAATTAACAGCCATATTAACTGCTGCACCACCAGTGCTCCTATCTGATAAATAAATACTTCAAAATAAGAGTAATTCTAGGGCACCAGAGAAACGGGTCTCAGCCTCAGGAAACTGTTGTCAGTTCTTAACACCCCACTTAATAATGCACTACTTAAAAGTCCCCTTGAACCTAATTTATAACAATGCACATAGCAAATAAGGAAGCATGATTTTAGGAAAGGCAAATGATTCCCAAGTTCTCAGATTGGGAATTTATTTCAACTTGCCACATGAATGAAAACACACCTTATTTTTACTAAAAATGTTCTTTTTCTTGAAAGAGAATAAAATAATATCCCTGAAATCAGCGGGATGTTTCACATGGATGTCTTCTGCACGATACTGGAGAACCCGAGAAGTCTTGTTGATTAGCCAATAGGGACTAAAGACAGATAGCACCATTCGACTTCCAATTCGCCTGACGTGTACTGACAAGTCGAGTGTCATGACTTCTGAGGAGTCAGAAGTGAAACACACAAGAAAGAATTCGGGAAGTGTATCACTTATACGGAAATGTCCATTCCAGTTTTTGCCCTGGTACTTCATTAGCACTAATTCCATTATTTCCCCACCAATTCTCGAGTGTAGAACATCAGCAGCACTGCCTTCTGCTAGCTTATGGGTTTCTGCTGTTCCCTGAAAACAAACAAAACAAGAAACAAACACAAAGTCTGCTTACTGATTTTTTAGAACCTCTGAAATAGCAAAATTCATACTTCACACAAATGCTACATTATCTACCAAATGCAAGTTACTTGCCAAGTCTCCAATGAAGTACCATGTTTATGTATTATGAATGTCCAATAACTACTATAGTCTAAAAATAAAACATTATTCCATTGCCACGGACAGAAACTATCTTTTAGCCATTAGTAGGCCAATGGCCATAAGTTTTATTAATTTTTATTGTGATCTGGGTGGAAGTTTACAGAGTAAATTCATTTTCCATGCAGCAGTTCATACACACCTTGTTTCGTGACATTGACTGCAACCCCTACAATGTAACAGCTCTCTTCCCACTTTCTCCCCGTAGTTAGCTCTTCCCTGTGTCCTTTCCTATACATTCCTGCCCCCTAAGCTATCTCCCTGTGCAAATACTGCCCTTCTGTTCTCCCATGATTGATCATTCTAAGAAGTATATCTACCTAGTGTAAATGTTCACCCCATATGTCTGTTTAGGAGCTCTGGTAGCGTACGACCTAAGGCACTTGACTGCAAACCAGAAGGCTGGCAGTTCAAACTCACTAGCCACTCCTCAGAAGGAAGACAGGGCAATCTTCTTCCATACTGATACCACCTTGGAAACCCAAGGAGGGGTTGCTATGAGTCAGGTCTTACTAGACAGCACATAACAGCAATAACATATGCCTGCTATTGTTTGGGGAAGCCACAGGAAGGAATTCAATTCCAAGCCTGAAGGCTAACTATGGGCCACAGTCTTAGGGGTATCACCAAGTTCTATCTGACTAGTAAACCAAGGCTTTTTTATGATTTTTCAGTTTTGTCCCACATTGTTCTACTACTCTATCCAGGTTCTCCTGCACTGATTCCTTTCTGAGTCGTTGACAGTAGTAGCCGGGCACTGTCTAGTTTCTCTGCTCTCACGGTCATACAGGCTGAGGTTCGCATGGTCCACTAGTCCCTTAGAATAATTAATGGCCTTAAGTATTGAGAAAAAAATAAGATTTATACCAAGAATTAAAGGCTGGATTCAGGACTCTTGGCTATTGCCTGTTAGAGCTATGTCATTGAACTGCCTGGGTTTCAGCTTCATCATCTATTCACATACCACATCTAAGGGTTTTGTGGTGTAGTAAATTATTTGGTGTGGCTTTTCTACCCATAAGTCTTTGTAAACTCCAAGGTGGGATTTTCTATGAGCAACTGAGGAGCTCCTGATTGCTGAAGTTGTCCACCTGGAGTATTTCTGTTGGGAGTGGCACAAAACAATGTTCTGGGAGGTGCCCGCTCTCTCTCAAGTGCTTAGAGTTCTGATGCTATGACTGGCTAGTTTGACCACCCTGCCGGGCTCAAAAGGAGGCCTCCTAGAGGCAGAACTCTCTCTGACTGCTGGTTGAGGAAGACGTGCTGCTGAAAGAGACAGGCACTTCGGAAAGAGACACACGCTCCTGAGACATGTGCTGCTGGGAGAGACGCAAGAGACACGCATTGCTGAGTACGACACCAAGGGACACGCACTGCTGGGAAAGAGACTGTGAGAGACTGTTGGCTGAGGGACGGTGGGCTGGGAGAGAGACTGAGTGTTCTTCCTGAGCTTGAATTGTAGTCTGGTGCTTCCCTAATAAACCTCATAATCTGTGAGTTCTGTGTGGCCACTGCAGCGAATTATCGAACCCAGGAGAGAGGTGGTGGTGCTTTGGGAGGAACGGTTGGAGAAAGGGCTGGAGGGAGGCAGCATGTCTGTCCTTGCAGTAATAGGCCTTGGGTTACTGCTGGTAATCCTGTCTTCCTCTTATGGGATTAGAGGAGGTCATAACATGTGGCCTCCTTGCCCTTTTTGCAGGTTTCCATATGAATGAGATAAGGAGTGATGTCAAACAATTCTGACAAGCTATCTAAGTAAGGAATATTATTTTTCAAATGTATGATAGACAAATAATGAATCAATCTTCCTTGCTGAAAGCTTCTCTTGTGTAAGCATCACTTTTTACATTATTTAGTAATTTTAGTCTCCACACCTCAGGGATGGCTCACTGTCAGACACAGATATAAAACAGGTTCAAAACATTCTTTCCAGATTTTTGTATATTAAAATGTTGTGATATATAGAAGTTTAAACATATTTATCATATCCTATTACTAGAAAATATTCTTTGTTATTTCTTGAGACAAAGACAGTAATTGTTTTTAATTTCAATAGAGGCTTGGACCAAATAATCATATTAACATTAAAGTAAATGTTTTATAAATTAAGATGAAGTATTTTCTCATTTGCTTTTTTCTATCCTTTTGATTAACAAAATTTTGCTGAAATAATAATAAGAAAAATGATTATACTTAACTTATGGCAGATGCAACAGAATACAATGGAAGGGATCAAGAAGCCAACTGTCTACAAAGCCCTGCTCCACCTTTACTAGCTGTGGGACCTTGGGCAAGTCACTTAACCCCTTTGTGACTCAGTTTCTTCATCTATAAAACAGGTCTAATAGTAGTGCCTACCTCAGCAGGGAGAAATTAGTGAACAATGTAAAGAACTCAGAACAGTACCTGGCACATAGTACATGCTATGCCAGTGTTTGCTATTAGTAATATTATAAACATAAAGCTAAAGTGATCTCAACTAAAAATACCATGAAACAAACTAGAATCCACTCTTTGCATCAATAGAAGTCAAATGAAATGTAGGAGACAAACCTCAAGTAAATATCTGAAAGAATATGGGAGAAGATTCCGCAAAGTCAGGGGAGGATACAAATGAATAATGTAAGCTGGATCCCAGTCTTCCCCATGTGAACAGATATAATTTAATTCATCAGGCACAGCAGCTGTATTCACTATGAGAGGTAAGAAGTTAACTTCTGTTGATGGACACTGCAGCATGCACCTGACTTCCCTGCTCCTATGAAGTTCTTCCTTCCAGGAAATGTAGGTGGTGGACATTTTGTACTGATGTTCTAAGAGCCCAGCTGGCTGAATAAACAGTTGACATCTACAGAAAAAGAACACAGAGTGGAGAAAAATTTTTCATCTTAAGAAAAAGCATCAAATTAAACATTGATAACCCTACAAAGTAAGCATCATCATCATTATTATTGTTACTATTTTCACAGATGAAGAAACCAAAGCTAAGAAAGGTTAACAGAGCTAGGACAAGTAACTTTTTAAAAATCATTTCAAATACAAAGTCAATCTAACAAAATAGGTATCTAAAAATTCTGAAACATCAAATATACAATAAGAAATTTTTACCTAGCAAATTCAGTGACAATAATAAAAATCCATTTCCCTATAGAAAAAATGAACTGTATGTGTGTCTTAGAAATAGTCTTTCATAAATCTTCACATAAAGACGTTATTATTCTCCAGAATATAGATGCCCAAACCATAAAATTAAAAATACACTTTAAGAACTTTTTAAAGCTTAGTCTATTCCAGGAACCGTCTACCTGTATGAATCTAAAGGCACGTGGAACTCCTCTTCAGGTCTGGCTACTCCAATGCGCTCCAACAGTTTAACATTCTTAACAAACTTATAGATGATAAATGCAATAGAGAAATGGTTTTTAATCTGTTTGACAAAAAAGACATACATTGTTGAATTACGAGTTCAAAAGAAAAACTATGTGAGTTGTACACAATTACTTTTAAATCTAAAATGTTTCAAACCCAATACTGGAAGATAGTTTGATTGGCAACTGAAAAACTTAGGATATAAACGCTCTATATATGTTAAAGCTGATGCTTAAGGGGCAGTTAAAAATTATTAGGATATTCAAATGCTACTAATGAGTATGTGAATATTTATAATATCCTAATGAATAGCATTAATATCATTAGGATATTTAGTATATTAAATGCTGGCGTTTAATGTTAGTCTATATTTCAAATATGTATTAATCCTTGAAGTTGTGAGCCAGGAAATGTTCTCCATTACTATCTTTACTCAATGACCATGTGATAAAACAGTAAATGGCAAAGGTCATACAACCCTCTTTCCATGATTACAGTGGGCTAATGATATACTAAGAGACAAAACTGGCCAAAATTTGAAATCTTTTCTTCTATAACTAACAATATTAGAGGTAGGTGAAAATGTTCTTGCGCTAACCATATACTGAAACTCATAGTGATGTACAGAAAAAGAGAAATGGATAAACTTTTCAAAGTAGAAAATAAAATATTTCTATAGACTAAGATCCTAACTTTTTTTAGGGGAGTAAAGTCATTCCACTAATCCTTCACACATACTTGAAAAATACAACCTTAAGTGGAATTAAAAAAAAAAAAAACAGAAATGTTTTCCTATTCAGTAACCAATCATAATTACAATATTCCTCAGTTCTAAATCTCTAAAGGAATACACAATAAAGCTTCATTACTTCTAAACCCAGGAGACAACAAAAATAGGTTTTAAAAGAACAAGGCTAGTTTATCAGATATTTAAAATAAAGAATATTACAAAACCAAGTAGGCTAGGGAATAAAAGCCACTTCAATTTATTATAGTTATTTCTGCATAAGCAATATCAGCTTAATAAAGTTTTACAATATTCTATAAATATTCAGCTAAAAGATTTAATATTTCTTGTCATAATTAAAGGGACACAGATGACTTGAAAGCATTACCTGTAGAGGAGAGCGAAGGGTAATTACTTTATTCCCTTCAGTTGCATCAATCTGTACTAAGACTGAGTCAGAAAAACTGGCAGTAGGATTCCGTACATTATACAATCGTCGTCCGGGTCTGACAACAGGGATATTTGCAACTTCTGTATATCCATGAGGTACTAAGGCAAAGCGTAAGTGAGAATAACTCCAAAAATTAATTTACCTATATTTCCCTATGGCAGAATAAGCACTGGTCCCTCAAAATAATAACAGTACTCTTCCTCATGACTACAAATAATCACTATATAAAATGCTTTTCTAAGACAATGTTGTTATTGTTATGTGCCATCGAGTCAGACGCAACCCTTCCTTGGGTTTCCAAGGTGGTATCACTACAGAAGTAGATTGCCCAACCTTCCTTCCAAGGAGTGACTGGTGGGTTTGAACCACCAGCCTTCTTCTGTTTAGCAGTCAAGTGCCTTAGGCACTATGCTACCAGAGCTCCTTTCCAAGGTAATAGGAACTTAATATATATATATATATTATTATGAAATTTTGACCCAAAACAATCTGTCTTGAGATTTTGAATGTACTAAAACAAACATAATCCAACTTGTTCCTTACTCTCTTAACAATAATCTCTCCTTTGTAATGGCAATAATTACTGTGACTATCTTAGGACTTATTAATCCTTTTTTGGGGAAAAAAAAACAAACTCACTGCTTTTGAGTCAGATCTGATTCATGGCGACCCGTTCTTGAGTTTCTGAGGTGGTACCACTACAGATGTAGATTGCCCAACCTTCCTTCTGAGGAGTGGCTGGTGGGTTTGAACCACCAGCCTTCTGGTTAGCCTTAGGCACTTCGCAACCAGAGCTCCTTTTTGAAGCACACTATATCATTATTCATGCGCAGAGAAATAATCTAGTTTTCTATGGTAGTTTTTAAATTAATCAAGTTAACTCTTCTCAAGTTTAAAAGAAAATAAGGAAGTAAGTGTTTATCAACTGCTTCAAGCCTTTAGAAATATTTTCACCCAAGGTATCTGTGGCAAAATATTTTTTCCAGAGTTTATCTATCAAAAATAAGCCCACATCAACAATCAGAGATACCCTTAAAATAAAATAAATACAGCATACCAAAGGTTAGAGTGAAAAAGGAGCTTTCTTGACGGCTCAATATAGATAGTTTGCCTTGACGTAAAGGCTCCATGCTGGCATATTCCAATTCCAGATTCTGACCGGCATCAACATCATAAATATCACTTCTTTCAGGGGAGCCCATGACTCTAAGATTATGACTAGGACGCACATTAATGGGAATACCTATGGCATTTTTTACTGTAAAAGGAGCTCTATCTTTTAAAGAGTAGTCAAAAGTAGAAGTAGTGCCCTCTGAAAAACCCTGAAAGAGAATATAACAATGCAATAAAATTTTTGCAAAATGCATATTCTTATAAAAAATCAAACCAGGACTAGGCTTTTCAAAAACTAGTTTTAACAACAGAAAATCTATACATGTTTTATTTCTAAATTCCCCTTGAAATATTCCAAACAAGAACCAAACATACTTTTGCTAAATTGCTGAAAACATTAAGACAACTTTTGGATATTGTTATGTTCATTGTATCTCCTGAAGAAATGTAAATTGCCATTTGTGGATCAGGAAGAAAAATAAAGTCATCTCCTGGCACCAAACTTTTATCCTGGACTGGGTTCTTCTTTACCTATAAGGACAAATAATGTAACAAATGTATTATTTAATTAGTAATAGAATTAAAGGACTCTAAACAGAATTAAATTTTCCTAATCAAAATTTGCCACTTTACATTGACTCCTCAAAAATCGAATCTTCAAGGATATTCATTATTCTTTAGCACAAATGAACATTCCTTCTCTTACTATATAGCCCATGCACAGAGAGATGTTTTGAATTATGCCATACAAGAACCAAGCAATTTTTTTCTCAAAGTCAGCTATAATATTTGTCTCTTGTGTATTCCTCAGAGGATAATCCGTCCAGTGTTGCCTGACTAATTGGTGATTATACATTGATGAGCAATCTAAGATGACTCTGAAGTCTAAACTGACTATTATTGTAGGTATTATCTGGAAACAGCAGTTTCTTTTCTTCTACTATTTACTAGTAACATTTATAAATAAATGATACAATAAGCTTTTAAATACCAGCCATCAGTTTCCATCAGAGATTTTGTTCTAACAGGTTTTTTAAAAACCTTCTAAAACACTCCATTTTACCCTCTCTATGCCAAGGAAGGGAGCTCTGGTAGCATAGTGACTAAGACACTTGCCTGCTAACCAGACGGCTGGCGGTTCAAACCCACCAGCCACTCCTCGGAAGGAAGGTTGGGCAATCCTACTTCTGTAGTGATAACTGCCTGGGAAACCCAAGGAGGGGTCGCTATGAGTCGGGGCCGACTCGACGGCACATAACAACAACAACAACATGCCAAGGAAAGACAGGTCAGAGATACTATGTCCACTTTACTGAAATAAAATGGGGGTTAAGTGACATCTCATCTTTAAAATAAATACCTACTTAGTCAATTTCAGTGCCTGGCTGCTCAGTCAAGCTGACCCTGAGAAGTGCATGTAATAATTAGTTAACGTACAATGCATGCTCCTCTTAATCTAGAAAAATGTGCTTCAGTGCCTAGAATTTCAAAGTGTTCTCAAGAAGTACTCAAGAGATAACACAAGAGTTCAGACCTAGAACAGAGGCTCTCAAATTTTGGGATCTTAGGATCCCTTCACATTCTTAAAAATCACTGAGGATCCCAAACAGCTGTGAGTTTTACCTATCAGCGCTTACTGTATTAGAAATTAAAACTGATGAATTTTAAATATTCATTTAAAAATAACAATTACATTTTAACATAAGTAATATCTTTAATGAAAAATAACTATATTCTTTTAAAAATATATAGTAAGTACAAAACATAGGAAAGGATGGAATCCTCCCTAACTCATTTCATGAAGCAGGCATAACCTTGATACCAAAACCAGGCAAAGACATCACTCTAAAGGAAAACTACAGACCAATATCCCTCATGAATATAGACGCAAAAATCTTCAACAAAATCCTAGTCAACAGACTCCAACAACATATCAAGAAAATTATTCACCATGACCAAGTGGGGTTCATATCAGGTATACAAAGATGGTTCAACATTAGAAAAACAATCAACGTCATCCACCACATAAATAAAACAAAGAAAAAGAATGACATGATCATATCAATTGATGCAGAAAAGGTATCTGATAAAATCCAACACCCATTCCTGATCAAAACTCTCAGCAAAATAGGAATAGAAGGGACATTCCTCAATATAATAAAGGGCATCTATGCAAAACCAACAGCCAACATTATTCTCAATGGAGAGAGACTGAAACCATTCCCCTTGCGAACAGAAACCAGACAAGAATGCCCTCTGTTACCACTTTTATTCAACATTGTACTACAAGTCCTAGCCAGATTCATAAGGCAAGAAAGGGAAACCAAAGGCATCCAAATTGGTAAGGAAGAAGTCAAACTATCCCTGTGTGCTGATGATATGATCCTACATGTAGAAAAGCCAAGACACTCAGCAAAAAAACTACTAGAATTGAGAGATTTAGGATAGTAGCAGGATACAAGATCAACATCAAAACTCAGTTGGATTCCTCTACACCAGCAAAGAGATTGCTCAAAAAGAAATAAGGAAATCAATACCGTTTACAATAGCTAGCAAAAAAATAAAATATTTGGGAATAAATCTTACCAGGGACACAAAAGACCTCTACAAAGAAAATGATAAAAAACTACTTCAAGAATACATAAGAGATCTAAATAAATGGAAGAAGACCCCATGTCATGGATAGGAAGACTGAACATTGTGAAAATGTCAGTTCTACCCAAAGCAATCTATACATTCAATGCAATCCCAATCCAGATCCCATCAA